GACATTACAAATAACAGTTAGTCATGCAACGTTACGTACGATCTGGTTTTATTCATTGAGTATTAATAAACATATAGGTAGGTATTATGACAGAAACAGTTTGCAGATTTTGTTACGATAAGGAAGAAACGCCGCAGCACTTAATTTGTATATGTAGCCCACTCATATATAAACGATATATCTACTTTGGAAAATATAGTCAATATTCTGAGGAGATAAAAAAAAATTTAAAAAAAAAATTAAAATTTCTATCACTGATAGGAACTAGCAACGAATTTTAAGAAAGGGCGAGCATAAACGATCATGGTAAGGTCGCACTGTCACAGACTCTTCTGGCTGAAAAAAGCCCCTTTTTTAATAATAATAATAGATATTATAATAGCGAATTAGAAGTTCTTACCTGTGACATCGTCCGCGTGACTGGACTATGTCACAGGAATGCCCAATGACCAGGATAAACAGTATAGTACATGTATACCAAATTTCATTTTAATTGATACAGCCGTTAAACCGTTGAGAGATAACAAACAAAGTCACTTTCACATTTATAATATTAATGAAGTAATAATTAAAAACTATTAACTAGACTAAAAATATCTTATTGTTTCCTAAAAACTAGAAACTTCAATCCTATTATTTTTTTTTCATATAATAAATGCGAAAGTTTGTAATGATAGATAGATAGATGTTTGTTACTATTTCACACAAAAACTACTGAACGGATTTGAATGACATTTGGTATACGGGTAGATTTTATCTTCATTTAGTACACAAAACTTTACGTACTGGTTCACGCGGACGGAACCGCGGGTTACAGGTAGTCGTAAATATCAATGAACGACAAGATCAAGTCTGTGGGTGCATTAAAATTATTTAAATTTAGAACGCGGAATTACAATAGATACATTGAAAATATTTAAATTCAGAACGCGGAATTGTGTGTTTGCGAGTCGATTTTATTTCGCTACAACCTATAGATTAAAGATAATACCTGCAGCAAGTAATATCTTTGATTTAAAAACAAAAATAGGAGCACAATATGCGGAACGGACTCGGGAGTAATAACATTATTGATTGTAAAAAGAATTAGACGATGACGACGTGATTATGAAACATAATCACAAAAAAGTTAAGAACTTCCTTCTTTTAAAAGTTGCTTAAAAATAATAATTTTTTACACGACTGTCCAAAAAAAGGAGCGTAAGGTGTTCACAGTTCATGTATGTACGTAATTTTTTTATTCTACCATAACTTCTAATTGCTTGGACAGGTTTGGATTATATGGGGTATAATTAGAATCCTAACATCATCCTAAACGACACTGGCTATATTAAAAAAAAAAAATTCGCTTATGGCAGAGCAATCGTGTTTCTTAATTTGCATATGATGGATATGAAATTTATTAATGTTAGATGAACGTCTTTGCCTCGTAGTGCAATCCTGTAAAAAAAAAAAACACGAAAAAAAGGGCGGGAACAATAAATATTGCAATGTACACATCCTTTTCGTATGCAACTCCGGTTTTTCCATCTTGAACATATCCAATGAACTTATTTCGTACCGGCGTGAGGTCGGTCGGCCGGTACCAAGGTCGAGTGACCGGCTCGCCGTGGTTTTTTTTTCTTAAAGTCTGTCATATTACTGAACGTATGTAGATATAAAGAAAATTTAGAAGTGACCGCTTACCCGATTGCGAAGAAAAAAGGATAATGCCTAACGTGATGCGTAAAAGGATTCAGAATTTTTCTCATTTTTCAACCGACTTAAAAAAGAAGGAAGTTGTCAATTCAGTTGTAATTTTTATGTGTGTATTTTTGTATTGTGATTTAGAGCATTCCTATTTGTTTCAAATCACTTTTGGTAGTCCTCATTACTAACAATCTCTTCACCCCTAAAGTCCTTTTAAATTAACTACTACATGCTAATATGGGGTATAAAATTAGGAAGGTATTTAACATTCCACGCATTCTAACGTGTTTATGGAACGTGCCATAAGTCACGTTTCCATATCACATGTCACGCAAGGCCATGCTCACCTTTCATCTCTTATGGATGCCCGCCAGCGTAAATTATTGATTTACGCTATATTATCCTGTAAAGATACGCCTTTATTTCGGAACTAACTTCACTTTCACTTCACCTAGGGAGACTGTACAAAAGTCGATTGCTTGGGTACCTCTGTCCTATTCGTGTTTCTACCGTGAAGCAGTTGTGTTCGCATGACTGTGTTTCGGTTTAAAGGGTGGGATATGGCGTGAATTTACTGGGTACAGAGGAATAACATCCGAGTCCTCAGGAATGGCAACGCATGGGGTGTATCATAGGCGAAACAGTACACTCTGTTATGTCCATGGCTGCTATGTCCACTGCTCATGTCTATAGGCGACGGTTACCACTTTCCATCAGGTGGGCCGTCAGCTTGTTTGCCATTCTAAGTTGTATAAAAAAAAACCCAAATTTTGACTTCATAAAATTTCAATTTTGTCAGTAGTTGCCACGCTTGGCGAACTGGTTGGCAACCGCAGTTAAGCTTTGATGATGTTTTAAGAGAAACCCTACTGCCCACCCTCGACCATTAAGTCCCCTTAGTCGCCTTTACGACATGTACAGGAAAGGGTGGCTCATTCTATGCCGGGACCACACGGCGCACCAATTGTAAATAACTATAGTTTTTTTTTACAACACAGGGGGCAAACGAGCATGCGGCTCACCTGATGGTAAGTGACTACCGCCGCCCATGATCACCCACAACACCAGCGGCGTTGCAGGTGTGATGCCGGCTTTTTAAAAAGGAATATACTCTTTTCTTGAAGGTTATGTTGTCGTATCGGTTCGGAAATACTGCTGCTGGAAGTTGATTCCAAAGAGTGGTTGTGCGTGGAAGAAAGTGACTTAAAAACGCACGGTGTATGTAATAAGTGTAATTTATTATATTAATTTGTCTTAACAGAGTATAACTACAGGTAATGTTGCCATTTAATTCTCATCCAATAAAAAAGACCGTGCCGTGTCTACAATGTAAATATTCATAAATCTACTTTGTATATTTACGTATAACAAGTCCATAACTCTTTTATTCTGTTTACGAAGATAAAGGTGCGTGTTCACTGGATATACATAGACAGTGAAACCTGGTTAAGTGAGACCATAAAGGGACGTGTAAATTTATATATTTATTTATTTTTAAAAGGTACATCAACAGTGTAAATTCAGACATTAATTTTAATTGGTATACAGGGCTTGCATCTTGCATTTACACCAATTACAGATGTACACAACGTTTTCTTAAGTCATCGATTACATTATAACAAAACTGACACCAGCAAAAACAATAAAAAAAAAACATACAGGTGATAACATGAGAACGCTTAAAATATATTTTTTTTTATACAACTTAGACTGGCAAACAAGCTGACGGCCCACCTGATGGACAGTGGTAACCGTCGCCTACAGACATGAGCAGTACCATGGACATAACAGAGTATACTGTTTCGCCCATGATACCCCCCATGCATTGCCATTCTTGAGGACTCAGGTGTTATTCCTCTGTACCCAGTAAATTCACGCCATATCCCACCCTTCAAACCGGAACACAGCCATGCAAACACAACTGCTTCACGGTTGAAACACGAATGGGACAGAGGTACCCAAGCAAACGACTTTTGTACAAAGTCTATGGTCTTTTGGTCTTTGTCTTTTGGAAGTATCAGACATTGGATAAATGTCCAAGATATTAATTTTATCAAATATAAAGCATATTCACATGGTCACCAACTGATATCATTCCAAAATGACTGCATGAAGATTTCCCAGCGAACCTCATCGCCTAAACAACATTGATTTGTGGAGACTGATCGTCTTGAATTTGCGGGTAGAATAAAAATAAGTAATAAATTTAAATGCAAAATTGCCCAAGTTAGAGAGCTGATAAATTGATGTTCTTTTTTTTTAATAGGTGATCATGGAATGGTGACCCCGCCTGCGCTAATGGTATACGCTGGCGGGGCACCAGTGAGGGATGATAGGTGAGAATGAAAAGGCAGGTCATTTGGCCCATCGTAATGAATACACTTGGAATTCAGCACGATGGTTTCCAGGAGGGACCACGTGGAGGTCGACCTGACAGGGTTTATTGCTAGCAATTATACTGGTAGTCCGTATTATTAACAATCCCTCCCCCCAGCGACAGAATAATTGCAGTTGCCAACACTGCCTGCCAAGCATGACAATTAGCGGCAAAAATCCCCCTTATGAAGGAGGCCTATGTTCAACAGTGGATAGTTAACAGCTGGTATGATGACGCTGATGAATATTTAATAGTAAATCATTTAAGTTTGTGTTTCACAAAAAAAAAACCGACTTCAACCATGGCAAAATTAGTCATTTGATTTTAAAACTAAATTACAAAACTAATTTTGATAAAACTTCTATTGGAACAATTTGAAAGTATATCTTTTCAGATGAAATAAAAAAAAAAAGAATTTTCCAAATCGGTTTATAACTGACGGAGTTATAAGGTAACAAACATAAAAAAAAACTACTATAGAATTAAGTACATCCTCCTTTTTGACTTATGATTAATTTTTAATTGAACAAATTTAAAAAAAAAAAACGGGTATTTGTATATAATTAATGTACACAGCATATTGTGGATATCGGTAAATATCTGTAAATACCTACCAATTATTTTTTATCAAATCAATTAAAACTCATCGAACCGTAGATAATTTTAAAACGGCCAGGTTATAAATAATACAAATTACAAACAAAACTAAACTTTCTGTCCTAAACGTTCAAAACAGAATTGAACAACCAACATTGATCGTACAACAAAGCACCTAGATTATATACAGTATTTTTTATTTCTATTTTTTACCTTAACCTGCTATTTTTAAATAAATATAAAAAAAAAGAATACTCGCGTGTTTATGGTGAACAAAAAGTATACTTTAAATAAATAATTGGTCTTTAGTTTTATTAAAGCAGTTTTAAATACTTACAATTTCCTTGGTTTCCCGATCCTTGTGAAAACACAACACTAATACAATAAAACAAAAAAATTATCACAGACACACTTGACATTTTGTTAACAATATTAAACAAATATTTATATAAAAAAAAAACTTTTTAAAACAGCATATCTGTCAATGTTCCCGCCAAAAGTTACGTATAATTTTTTAAATTATTTTGTCATTTACATATTATATGGATAAAGTTTTAATGAATTATAGTAAAAAAAAAACTTAAGTACAAAACGTCTATTTTGCAATTTTACTGGCGCGAACTGAGCAAGTCCTCAAGGCAAATTAAACTTTATATTTTACACATATCAATACAAACCAACCTGTTTTGAAAGGTCACGATTTCCTTACAAGTTGCGATGAGTTCACAGCCAATGTATCTCGCCAGCTTTATATTGGGCAATATTTGATGGGCTGGGTACTTAACGACAATTTGAAAGGTACCTATCATTACCACGAACTATTAAATACCACAAATTACGGAATTCATAATCTAATTGACCAAGTACTTATATACGAAAAAAAAACTGTGATTTTTTTATTTGCGACAAGAGCCATCGACAAGCAAAGATATTTTTTTGTAGATTGAAAGTATTTGAATTTAGAACTCGGAATTGTGTCCACATCGTTTCTATCTCATAAAAAGGATTTTATCACTTCGTAAAGAAAAGTCATAAGGACGATTGTATTCACAAAATAAAATGTGATCAACTGAATTAAGAAACATCTCGTTTATGGAAGCCATTTAAACAAACTATAGATATTTTTATTATTATATCAGCAATTAATTGACCACTGCTGAACATAAGCCCCCCCCCCCCCCATAAAAAGGGTTTTGTCAGTATTAGCCACGCTTGCCGAACTGATTGGCAACCGCAGTTAAGCTTTGATGTTATAAGAGGGACGCTGCTGTCCATCCCTCCACCGTTAAGTAACCTTAAACGCTTCACACGACACCCATGGGAAAGGATAGGGTGGCTCATTCTATGCCGGGACCATACGACAAAATAAACTATGCACTATCATATCCTAGTCACGCGAACACTGTCGCGGGTAAATGCTAATTTGTAATAATATTTCCTTGGGGAGGAAAGGAATTGTTAGTAATGGAGACTGAGAATTCCATTGCTAGCAATATACCCAACCAGGTCGACCTCCTCGCGGTTCTCCCTGGAAACTATCATGGTTAATTCCTGATGAATTTATCATGATGGGCTAACTGGCCTGTTTTCATTCTCATCTATCACCCTTCACTGGTGCTCTGCCAGCGTATCCCGTTAGCACAGGCGGGGTTAACATACCATTTTCACCCATCAAAAAAAAATTTCCTTATTTAACACAGTTGTGGAACGAATCCACTATGGGGTTTTTCAGGGAATCGCTTGAGAACGGGAAGATAATTTACGAATAAACTAACTTTTGCATACTACTTCATATGCGTGGATGGTACTTCTAAATGGTATATCAATATGAAACACACGCCAGAAACACCTTTTTTTTTTGGATGACTATGAAATGGTAACCCCGCCTGCGCTATGGGTATACACTGGCGGGGCACCAGTGAATGATGATAAGTGAGAATGAAGCAGGTCAGCTAGCCCATTGTGACGAATTCATCAATAATTAACCATGATGGTTTCCAGGGAGAACCGCGTGGAGGTCGGCCTGATAGGGTATATTGCTAGCAATGGAGCAGTCAGACCCCGTTACTAACAATCCCTTTCCCCCCAGTCCAGTCTATTGCTAATGACCATTTTACACTGCACTCATGAAACAACAGTTAGGAATTAGCTTATAATTGGGATCGGTTTACAATAGTTTGCATTGACAAGTTGCACCAATATGCATCTATCAGAACAGTATGGAACCATTTTTTTTTATTGATTATAATGGAATGGTAACCCCGTCTGCGCGGGTGAAAAGGGATTGTTAGTAATGGAGACTGACAATCCTATTGCTAGCAATATACCCAACTAGGTCGACCACCTCGCGGTTCCCCCTGGAACATGAACATTCACGACATAGACATATGATTACACTGTACATTAAAATGTAAATAAATAAAAAAATAGGACCATTCGAACAAAGCAGAACTTCCAAAAGAATTCGTCTAATTTTTTTATGGCTTTAATGTTAAAAATATATTATTAATAAACATTTAGGTACAGGTGTAGATAGGTACCACAGAGTAAGTAATCTACGTCGTTGTACTAGGTACTTAAACACAGTTTAAGTAATTAATACTGGCCAGTATTTTTCTTTCCAAATTTCAAAAAATTGCCTGTTCCGAAATCTGTAGGTATGTACACGTAGTTCTGCATTCAAAAATTTTTTTTTTATTTATTTGGGTAAAAAAACAGTGACAAAATTCAAATAATTCTTTGTAATGTGTCTACCATAGAACAAGAATAGTACATGACATTCTTTTTCGATGGTATCTACGATACTTCTTGTCGTTCGTCGGTGTGTGCATGTTTTTGCGTGCGTACGTGCGACAGTCAGACAGACAAAATTTCTTAAACTTATTGTTTTAACATCTATTGGTCTTATTAACACTCTCCATATTATTATTGTTTTAAATATCTCCCGTATACAGACATCGCCTAGTTATAATTTTATTATAAATTAATAAGATAATTTATTAAAAAGGAAAATAAAAATTATTTAATTCATATATAATTTACTGTAAATAATCACGGAAAATAAATTATTGAGATTCCATAGGCTCTTGGTCGATGGTCGTGAAACTATTGTAAGTGCTAATTGAAGGTTCGCTTGTATCTGGATTTGCCGAGATCGGTTCAGACGCGTTCGACGTATTCCCCCCTTCAGAGAGCCGACTTGATGAAATAAGGTGCACAGGATTTTTTACATTATCTGTGGCCGATATACTACAACTTTTTTCATCTGGAGCAATTCCATCCGACAGTTCCACATTTGAATAATTGTTCCCGCTCTTTTTGTGTTTATGCAACTGGCAATTTGTATATTGACAACCCTTGTTTGCCATAGACAATCTGTAGTGAACCCGATTTCGGGATTTTTTACGATTCGAACGTCTTGTCTTTGGTTTCGATATTCGATTTCTCCCGCGCGTTTTTCGTTTTCTGCTACGATCGTAAGGTTGACTGGACGATTTAGCTTTCCTGTTTGGAAAATGCGATACTTTTTTAGCGCATACCTTGCTTTGGCTCATACTAATTAACTGGGTCATCTGACTTCTTTTCGCGCCATTTACTGTCACCTTGTAACAAAAAGAATGTAATCAATTATAATAAATGGGTACGTACCTACATTTTATCACTTATAATGCCATACAAATTAACAAATTACCTGATGAAAGTATAAATTATCAATATAGACATGACTAACATCGTTAATATCATAAAATAAATGCATACATCTTCAAAAGGGGGGTAAAGAGGTTTCTTCAGGGTCGGCAACGCACGCGTAATACCTCTGGTATTGCAGGTGTTCATAGGCTACGGTAACCACTTACCATCAGGTGGGCCGTATGCTTGTTTGCCACCTCAGTGGTATAAAAAAAAATACTTATTTATTAATCGTTATTTGATCATATTATTATAAAAAAAAAATCTATCACTACAATTGACTTTTTTTTAAACAATTTAAAATAGCAAATAAGCTGACGGCTCACCTGATGGGAAATGGTAACCGTCGCCTATAGACATGAGCAGTACCATGGACATAACCGAGTATACTCTTTCGCCCATGATACCCCCATGCAATGCCATTCCTGAGGACTCGGGTGTTATTCCTCTCTACCCTGTAAATTCAGTGCCATATCCCACCCTTCAAACCGAAACACAGCCACGCAAACAAAACTGCTTCACGGTAGAAACACGAATGGGATAGAGGTGTCCAAGCAAACGACTTTTGTACAAAGTCTCCCTCTGGTAAATACTATATAGACTTAAATACATTTATATATAAGCAAAAAATATATTTATTTACCTAGGTAAATTCCACCACTATTAATAAAGAGTTTTATTTTTATAGTGATTTTATAAAATAATTTTAAAAAGAAGTAATCAATCGACTTCAAAAAAAAGGAGTTTCCGTTTTTTTTTTTATATATATTTGTAACCTTACATCTCCATCAGTTGTAAACCGATTTGGAAAATTCTTTTTGTATCTGAAAGGATATATTACAGATTGATAAATTTATATCGATAATGTAGTTTAGTTTTTAACCTTTCTTTGCATAATGGTAGAAATTTCCACCATAACATTGAATGCCCAAAAATTATATAAAAGAACAAGTTCACTTTAAATTGATCGTGTCTGGATACCTTTTTAATGTCCATTGCAGAAAAAAAAACAGCTGTCAAATTTATTTCTTTAACCATTTTTCCTTTAATTTTGAACATGAATTATATCACCTTGATTTATTTCACTAATAAAAAAAAATCATGCAAAGAAGGGTTAAATTAAAATAACTAGTTTAGCTATAATTAAAGTCTTTTTTTAAACACTATCTTTTTATTATGTTTTTTTATAATTTAATTCAATGGGAATCAAGTTGCACAATGTAAATGTATCTAATTTAATGAATTTCATGTAAGTAGCCAATTTCATTTCGTAAGAACGTGCGAACTGTAAACCGGAGTTGTATTAAACGTTTTTTTTATTATTTAGCCACTTGACTATTTACTTATTGTTATACATTATAGGTATATAAGGGTATCACTTGAATGCTTGAATGTGACCGAGTTCTTCTTTTTTTTTTATTACGCAACTTAAAATGGCAAACAAGCTGACATCTGATGGAAAGTGGTAACCGTCGCCTATAGACATGAGCAGTACCATAGACATAACAGAGTATACTGTTTCGCCCATGATACCTTCCATACGTTGCCATTCCTGAGGACTCAGGTGTTATTCCTCTGTACCCAGTAAATTCACTGCCATATCCCACCTTTCAAACCGAAACATAGCCATGCAAACACAACTGCTTCATGATAGAAAAAGTGACCTCTGACTGCCTCTTTTCTAATGATATTTGTTATTATTTAGATTAAATTAAAATATTAAATATTAGTAAATGACAGAATGACAGACAGTGTGACAGATAAACACACACAATTAATTTTACTCATGTATTTATATTTCTTTTTGTCAAGTAATCTCGCGGCTGGATTTTGGCCACAGCAGAATTGCAGTGTTTTGCTCTTTTGAGGGCAAAGCAATAAACTGAGTTGTAACTATTTTGTGTTACTGTGGCACATTCAAGAAATGGAAAAATTATGTTATTTCATTTATGGAAATTCCTTTTTTTTTTTTTTGTATATGTATTCTTTAATCTCTTTTTTTCCTTTGTATCACTGTGATTATTTCTTGTAATTGTTTATATTTATAATAAGTTTACTATTGTAATCTTTTGGAGGAAACAATAAAGAGTATCTATCTATCTATCTGTTGTTATTTGTGTGCTGTAAGTAATGCAAATAAATTATATATCTATTCTACCTACATCAGTAAAATATGGAGTCATATTGCAATACTGCTAACACACGTGTGAAGTGTCGCCCTCTAGTGTCGCGTTTCTGGGCCGCTTTTATTAAAAATTATTTCTACATCAAGAAAGAGAGAGAAGAAGCCTAAATCCAATTTTTGAACGGGTGATAATGGAATGGTAACTCCAGTGAGGGGTGATAGGTGAGAATGAAAAGGTAGATCAGTTAGCTCATCGTGATGAATACACTTGGAACTCAGCACGATGGTTTTTAAAAGGGGTCGCATGGAGGTCGACCTAACAAGATATATCGTTAGCAAAGGGACTAATCGGGAGGAGGCTTATGTCCAATAGTGGACGGATAATGGCTAAAATTATGATGATGAATGGGACCAGTACGCACCACGCAATTCCGTACATGTAACAAAGCCATACACACTCAGCTGCTTCTCGACACACGAATGGGACAGAAGTACTCGAGCAGACGACTTTTGTACAGTCTCCACCTCTGGCACCGATAAATTTAGAAATATTAAAAAAAATTACCTTGGCACAGGAGCGACGTTTGTTTAACTCATCATGCATCTTAGGGTACGTTTCGTTGTGTCTGGATACTCTGCTTAGACGGTCACGGCTCTGCCGACCGCACGCCTCGTGTTCGCCGTGATGCTCTGAGCTGAACTGCTCGGCAGCATTCGGTACCTTCTGAAATCATTTTTATGCAAATTGTAATGACATGTTAACGGCCTGCCTGATGGAAAGTGGTGGGAGGAGAGATTGTTAGTTACAGACAGCAAATTTACATGAAATTATATTTGATATATATTTTTTTACAACATTACTATTTGCGAGCTGCACGATGGTAGGAAGTGGCCGTAGGAATCGTATTGAACGATTCCTCTGAGCACAACCCTTTGTATAAGCGGTGAAACACGCAGAGTGAGGCAAAATCTCTCCTAAGACTTAAGGGTTCGATACCGCTTGCAAGCCTAGGACTATCGACAATTCTCATAGCTCGTCGTTGCAACGAGTCGAAATTGTTATTTTAATGCTTAATTCAATTGACATTTATACTTATTAATTTTTAAATTTTGCATGCCTAATTATGGCCAAATATGTGGACTCACCAGAGGGAGACTTTGTACAAAAGTCGATTGCTTGGGTTCCTCTGTCCCATTCGTGTTTCTACTGTGAAGCAGTTGTGTTTGTATGGCTGTGTTTCGGTTTGAAGGGTGGGATATGGCGTGAATTTACAGGGTACAGACGAATAACACCTGAGTCCTCAGGAATGGCAACGCATGGCGGATATCATGGACGAAACAGTATACTCTGTTATGTCCATGGTACTGCTCATGTCTATAGACGACGGTTACCACTTTCCATCAGGTGGGCCGTCAGCGTGTTTGCCATTCTAAGTTGTATAAAAAAAAAACTTATACGTATTGTTAGCATCTATATACTTACCATGTTTTTTGTAAATAAATATTTACTCATTTAAATAAATATTTATTCGTTCGTTTGTTCATCCACTTATTCATTTGTTCGTTTATTCATTGCGACCAGGTCGAACTCCACGCGGTCCCCTCTGGAAACTATCACAGTTAATTCCTGACAGATTCATCATGATAGGCTAACTGGCCTGTTTTCATTCTCATCTATCACCCTTCACTGGTGTCCCATCAGCGTATACCGTTAGCCCAGGCGAGGTTGCCATTCCATTTTCACCCATCAAAACCCCCTAAGGGGGAAGCCTATGATCAACAGTAGACAGTGAATGGTTGATACCATCATCGTTACCTGAGTCGGCTTCATATTCCTCATCGGTTCTGGTCCATCTTCATTCACAATTCGGCACATTACGTCCAGTACATGATTGGATCGGCCAGTACTCCGTTCGGAGTATCCACGCACGGTCTTGTTGTCTTTGCTTTTTGTCATATCTGGCGGGAAACGAAATAAGAACTATTTTTTTTTAATTCAAAATTAGAACCATGATCTGAGATAAAACTTATCCGAACTATATCTTTATTCATATGATCCTAGCATAGAATGTGCCACCCCCTCCTTTCTTGTGGGTGTCGTAAGAGGCGGCTAAGGTAACTTAATAGCCAAGGAATGGATAGCAGCGACCCTCTTAAAACATCAAAGCCTGCGGTAGCAATAAATAGCGTAAATACGTAATCTTTTGTAATGGGGTAGGTAAGTAATGGGGGTTAGCAACCCTATTACTAGCAATATACCTTATCAGGTCGACCTCCTCACGGTTTCCCCTGGAAACCATCGTGATTGGTTCATTGGTGAATTTATCACGATGGGCTGACTGACCTGCTTCATCTTCACTTATCATCCGTCACTGGCGCCCCGCCAGTGTATATCGATAGTGCAGGCGGGGTTACCATTCCATTATAATCTATTAAAATAGACACAGTTCTAGGGGGGAGGGGATTGCTAATAATGCGGACTACCTACTAGTTTCACTGCTAACAATATACCCTGTCAGTTCTACTTGGTCCCCCCTGGAAAGAGGGAGACTTTGTACAAAAGTCGATTGCTTGGGTACCTCTGTCCAATTTGTGTTTCTACCGTGAAGCAGTTGTGTTTGCATAGCTGTGTTTCGGTTTGAAGGATGGGATATGGCGTGAATTTACTGGGTACAGAGGAATAGCACCTGAGTCCTCAGGAATAGCAACGCATGGGGGTTATCATGGGCGAAACAGTATACTCTGTTATGTCCATGGTACTGATCATGTCTATAGGCGACGGTTACCACTTACCATCAGGTGGGCCGTCAGCTTGTTTGCCATTCTACGTTGTATAAAAAAAAAGACCATTGTGATGAATTCCATAATATAGGAAATTGGTAGTAGCCCTCACTGGTATTAAGCAACGCCGGGATCAGGATCAGTGTTAAGGAAGACCAGGACTAGGAGTCTGGTTACCTACACTAGTTAATATTAGTCAGTTAGCGAGTTCAGGCAATGTTCATAGTATTTTAAGACAAAAGGGTAATCTGTCATTTTTTATTCTATTATTATTATTTTTTATTTTACATTGACAAGCGCTGCTGGAATGCATATCGCCTGCCATTGTACCAAGGAGGTTCTTAACAATCCATGTTTATTATCATATATTCACGTTGGGCCAACTGACCTGCTTTTTCATTCTCACCTACCATCCCCCACAGATGGTGACGCATTACCATTCTATTATCGTCCATTAAAAAAACACCTTAGTTCTAATTAATGGCAACACATGAAGAGTATCATGGGCGACAGAGTGCACTCTGTTATGTCCATGGTACTGTTAATATCTATAGGTGACGGTGACCATTTACCATCAGGTGGGCCGTCAGCTTATTTGCTATTCTAAGTTGCAAAAGAAAAATAAAAAAAAAACGATAATTACTGATTCTCACGGGAGAAGCTACGGGATACAGCTAGCTGTCAAATAATTCTAATATTATAAATATGAAACTTCGCTCGAATACCTAGTTAACGGATTATAAGTAGTATTTGCTTGGGTACCTCTGTCCCATTCGTGTTTCAACCGTGAAGCAGTTGTGTTTGCATGCTGTGTTTCAGTTTGAAGGGTGTGAAATTACTGGGTACAGAGGAATAACACCTGAGTCCTCTGGAATGGCAACGCATGGGGGGTATCATGGGCGAAACAGTATACTCTGCTATGTCCATGCTACTGCTCATGTCTATAGGCGACGGTTACCACTTTCCATCAGGTGGGCCGTCCATCAGCTTGTTTGCCATTCTGTTGTATCAAAAAGAAATTTTTTTTACAACACAGGGGGCAAACGAGCATGCGGCTCACCTGATGGTAAGTAACTACCGCCGCCCATGGTCACCCACAACACCTACGGCATTACAGGTGTGCTGCCGGCCTTTTAAAAAGGAATATGCTCTTTTCTTGAAGGGTATGTTGTCGTATCGGTTCGGAAATACTGCTGCTGGAAGTTGATTCCAAAGAGTGGTTGTACGTGGGAGAAAGTGCCTTGAAAAACGCACGGTGGAGGACCGCCACTCGTCCAGATGGTTGGGATGAAATTTTAGTCTATGGCGGGTTGTACGATGGTGAAAATCTGCAGCAGGTATCAATCCGAACAATTCTTCAGAGCACTCCCCATGATAAATTCGGTAGAAGATGCACAGAGATGCAACATCTCTACGCAGTTTCAGTGGGTCGAACCGGACAGTAAGACGCCGATCGTCAACAATTCGAGCTGCCCGACTTTGAATGCGGTCTAATGGAAGGAGTTGGTAAAGTGGCGCTCCTGCCCACAGGTGAGAACAGTATTCCATGTATATAATCGTGTGATCCCGGCATAGAATGGGCTACCCCTTCCTTTCCCGTGAGTGTCGCAAAAATCGACTAAAGGAGGGCGAGGGATGAGCAGCAGCGTCCCTCATAAAACATCTATACAGCCCGACTGCGATTGTCAATTCGCCTGCCAAGCGTGGCAAGTACTGACAAAACCCCCCAAGGGGGAGCTAAGTTCAGCAGTGGACAGTTACAAGGCTGATATGGTAATTATAAAGTAGGTATAATGATACATACAGACAATGCCGCGGAAAACAATTAGTATATAGAATAAACTTACTGTTTCTTTGAAATTTCTATTTTGCTACTAATTTTTACATAGTATTTTTAAATATTTTACTATTTTAAATCACATCGTGACGGATTATGCCAACGAGAATTCAGTGACTTCTTTTTTAAAAAGAGAAGTTTAGGTACATGTTTTTTTTCTCGATGACAACCGGTTAGTTGGCCAGTTTTATACATCGTGTCGTGTAAAAGGCACATAAACTCGAAAATTGTTATATTTTTACAAGTAATATTCAAAGCGAATCACAATCGTAACAAACAATTCCGCGTTGTCCCGTCGTGTACGAGTATTTATAAGTGTCCGACCGAACTTTCGGTTTCGGCTAGTTTCAGCCAAAAATTCTAATTTTGGTTTCGGCTAAAAATTTGCCGAAAATTTGTTACATACTTCAATTTTTATATATTTATTTATTCATCAGTACAAATATGTGTACATGGCGGACTTAATGCTAAAAGCATTCTCTCCCAGTCAACCATAGGCAAGTGTCAGAATACTCGAATGCGGTACTACTAATTATTGATATACATACATACATTTAATCAGTGTTTATTATTACCCTTTAACTATCTGTGTGTTTGTGTAAATAATTGTGTAAAAAATACACTAGATTTCAGTATAGAACAGAAATTTTAAATATGTTTCAGTAAGATTCGGTTATAGTTTCGGCCGAAATTGAGACCAAGCCCGAAATTTTGGTTGTAAAACCTGTTTCGGTCGGACACTAGCATTTATGTATACTCAAGTATTATTATTGAAAGAGGGGCTTTTTCAGGCAGAAAAATCTGTAACACTGCAACCTTTCCATGATCTTTTGTGCTCGCCCCTTTTTAAAGTTCGCTGCTAATTCCTATCAGCGATAGGAATTTTAAGATGTTCTTTGCAGCGATGTTTTTTATCTCCTCAGGATACAGAGTGTGTTTTCCAAAGGAGATATATCGTGTATGTACGAGTGGGCTACAGCGACACATTCAGTGCTGCGGCGTTTCTACCTCATTGTGACAAAATCTGCAAACACTTTTTGGGCATAAGCCTAGTTGGGCCATATGCTTGTTTAGTTTGCAGTGTCCAATGAGGGCCTTTGTTAATACACATTATTTTTACTCAAAAGAATTAATTTCTTAGAGTGATTTTCTGAAAACCCCTTAATTAGGACTTTTGCGTATTTTTTTATTTATTTATTTCTTATTGCATTCCATAATATAATTAGTAGATAACATTTCAATTATGGACCCTGTTGGGCACAGCAAGTAGGAGAGAGGAGGACAACACTTTTTTCACTTTCGAAATAGTCTAAGGATCTGTTACAATATTATCTAGTCATTGAAATTGTATCACGATAGGTACGTATTTTCTTATTATTATTATTATTCATTATTTAAGTATTGGTGTGTATCTATTCATATCGTAATTGTTATTAGTGTTATATAGTTATTTAATATATTCTGTAGTTTATAATTATTTATATTCATATTGTAAAATTAATCAATAAATAGTTTAATAATAAAATTTCAGCGATGTCAGTTTTAGCTATGTCTTAAATCATTATCAGTTCATAATTAGTTATTTATTTATAAATTACAAGATAAATTCTGCTTGTCATTCAAGTATTCGTCAATAGTATAGTAGCATTTAGTAATTAATAACTTTTTAAGACTTCCTACAAAAATATTGTCATTTTCTTCATTTTTTAGTGTTTCTGGCAATCTGTTATATATTTTTATTGATGACACAAAGGGACCAGCGGAATACATAGCCAGCAAAGTTGATGAGAGGAGCAGTCTATCTCTGTGTCTTAAATTATACATTGCGCATTTTTCTTAGCGTGTTTTATAGAAATTAGGATATTTACTCAATGTATAAGGGAATAAGGGGTGATGTATACTCAAAATACAGTTCTTCAAATTAAACTAAAAGTTCACCGTTCCCGCCATTTTTCTACCTCAATTTTTTTTTTCAGGTCTTTATTTTTACGACCATTTCCGCAAGCGTCATGTATAAAAAGCTCGTACTTAGTACTTAGACATGGGTAAAACACTCAGCCGTGTCACCACGGATAGGGATTAACAATATATTATTTATTGTGATTATTTTGACACGATGAACCACCTGATTTTTTACGGGTTGGGGGGGGGGGGCGGGAAGGGATTGTTAGTAATGCGGACTACCAGTCCCATTGCGAGCAATGTACCCTGGCAGGTCAACCTCCATGTGGTCTCCCTCGAAAACCATCGTACTGAATTTCAGATGTATTCGTCCCGCCCCCGCAAGCATATACCGTTAGCGCGCGCGGGGTTACCATTACATTATCATCAATTTAAAAAAAAATACCTTGCTTTCATCTATCATCCATCACTGGTACCCCACCAGCGTATACCATTAGCGCAGGCGGGGTTACCAAACTGTTATTATGCATTTAAAAAAAGTACACCATTTTGTAAATGGAACAAGTGGGCTGAGATCTCCCCACGCGAAGAATCGAATGGTGTCGAGAAGACACTCGGGTCACGGTCGAATGTGAAAGTGAGCCCATGGCTTGGCACTTTTTTTATATACTGTGGGATATTTCTGTGGGACCAATTTGTATAAGGGTACACAAATTGATTTACAACTGTCATGAAATATAAAAAAATATATATAACAGAACTGTCAACCTCTTTTTTCTGAAGTTGTCTGATAAAGAGGAAAGATTTGGATTTCTATTTGTTTGTTTGTAATGTAAAAGATTCAAAAACTATTATACTTAACCGTTTTTTTTTTATACCACTGAGGTGGCAAAGCACCTGATGGTAAGTGGTTACCGTAGCCTATGAACACCTGCAATACCAGAGGTATTACGCATGCATTGCCGACCCTGAAGAAACCTCTTTAGCCCCCCTTTGAAGAACCCCATGCTGTAGTCTCTTGGGAAAACCTCGGCAGGGAGCTCATTCCAAAACCTGAGTGTTCGTGGGAGGAAACATCTCTGAAACCGCGCAGTACGCGACCATTGAGGTTGTAGGACATGAGGATGAACTCCCTGCCGACGGCGAGCCGTACGATGGTAGAAAGTGGCTGTGGGCATCATATTGAACAATTCCTCTGAGCACAATCCATTGTACAGGCGGTAGAACACGCAGATATTTTCTAAATATTTTCATCTAAATTATTAGAAATTAATGTAGACTTTATTGTCGTATTGTCTCGGCATAGAATGGGCCACGCCTTTCTTTCCCATGAATGTCGTAAGAGGCGACATAGGAAACTTAACGATCAAAGGATGGGCAACAGCGATCCTCTCATAACATCATCAAAGGGGGGGACAGGAAATTGTTAGCAATGGAGTTTGACAGCCCTATTGCTAGCAATATGTCCTATCAGATCGACCTCCACGTGGTTCCCCCTGGAAATCATCGTGAACAATTCTTGTTGAATTTATCACGATGGCCCAACTGACCTGCTTCATTCTCACATATCACCTCTCACTGATGCTCCGCCGGTGTATACCGATAGAGCGGGTGGGATTACCATTCCATTATCACCCACTAAACTTTACTAAAGCCTAACAGCGGTTGCCAATCCACCTACCAAGCGTGGCAACTACTGGCAAAACCGCCCTTTCGAGGGAGGCCTATGTTTAGCAGTGGACAGTAGACAGCTAACATGATGATGGTGATGATGATAGGCTATGTATTATTTTTGTAAATTCTCTCCACCCATGCGAAGCAGGATTGGATTGCTAGTATGAAAGAAAAAGACAAATTGTTATAGTTTTTATCTTTTTTTATTCTTTCTTTAACACAAGAGAAATAGAATATGTAATTAGGTAAGTGCCTACACTAATCTGTAAGTTTTTAATAGTATGTTACAAGTAGTAGAATGGAAGGAAATTGTTAGTAATGGAGACTAAGATTCCCATTGCTAGCTATATACCTAATCAGGTCGACCTCCATGCGGTTCCTCTTAGAAACTATCATGGTTAATTCCTGATGAATTCATCATGACGAGCTAACTGACCTGTTTTCATTTTCATTGATCACCTTTCACTGGTGCCCCGCCAGCGTATACCTTTAGCGCAGGCGGGGTTACCATACCATTATCACCTATAAAAAAAATTTTAGACAATACTAATTTATCTAAATACTTATTGAACTTATTTATAAAAACTAAAAAGTTCTAGAAACCTATTTTAAACAATTAGGCTGATTTGTCACTTTTTAAATTAGCTAAATTCCTAATTTAAAATAAAAGAAAGAAGTCAAACAGTTAAATAGCTAAAATAGGTTTTTTTTTTATTATTGTTAGGGAGGCAAACGAGTACACGGTCCACCTGATGGAAAGCGGCTACCGTCGCCAATGAACACTTGCAACACGAGAGGAGTCGCTTGTGCTTTACTGACCTTTTAATGTTTATAGGCACGTTCATAAGATTTATTATGGCTATAAGTAGTACTAAGTACTAGAGGAGCACTAACAGGATCAGAACAAAATCTGTTGTATTTATGTATAAAATAAACATAGCAATACTGAATATACTGTAACATACATGCATTGGTAAACATTTGTATTTGAGTGTCTTGTGATGAATGTCTGCATTGTACTTTTCCTTTTTTGCGCAAACCAATTTTGTACTTTTATAATAATAAAAAACCTGTTATTAGCCTTAATATTTTAAATACTTGTATGTAAATCTTAACTGTAACGCCGTTGGTTTCTAATAAATAAATAAATAAATATAAGAGGTTTGTTTTTTATAAATAAAACAGTTAATAATTAAAAATTAAAGCAGTTTAATAACCCCACATTACAGTTTACAATAAAACACATCCGGATCATCAATTAGACAGTATGGGCCCTAAAAAAAATATTTTTGAGATTTTTTTTTTAAATGAAAATTACAAATGTAAATATTAATGTTTTTTTTTTGTCATACTTTATTATATCTTGTAACATGTTTCAAGTAGTATATGTAGGTTATTATTAAAAAAGTTTTTTTGCAAGCTACACTTTTTTATTACAAAATGGGTTTGCACTTGATCTTACCTTATCTGATTGTAACTGATAAGATTGCATTGCAAAACATGCATTGTCTAGAGGTCGTGACACAATTAAACTAGCCCTGCAACTATACGAAATATCTTTACTAGCTGACCGCAGTAAATGCTTTTGCTTTTGACCCTATCGGTCATTTACTGGGATAGTAACTATCTAACCTAACCTGTTTTTCAAAGACAGAATTGTTTTTATACCAGAGCGAACAATTACAAAATTTTATTAAAATGGATTGAACACTTTTAGAGATTAGCATGGACAAACATTGTTGCACAGGATTTTTATATTATACATTGGAGTTAATTCTGAGGTGTCATTTCTTTAAATTTATCTGTAAAATTTAAATTTAATATTGTAGTGAAATCTTTATACTATTATAAACTAAATTTGTAAGATATTTAAGTCAAATATATTGTAAATTTTGTTTATGATGCTCCATGAAAAAATAAATTCATGAAACTATGAAATTTAAATATTAAGAGATTAAGAGAGAAGTTGCATTACAGTATCAGCCCCTTTATTATCGTTTATACAATGGTTATTAATGATTAAGTTTGGTCAGTAAGTAGGCTAGGGCAATAGATATAGAAAACAATAAGTCTATAGGTGTTCTTATACATTTGTAAACAAATATTTAGGTATATTTATCATCTAAATATATACGATAATACTGTACACACCCAAACAAATGTAAACCATAGACAGTATTTTTTTGTTTTTATAATTATTACAAGACCAAAGAAAAAGTTGAATAAATAAAGAATAATAGCTCAACCTAATGTTAATGTATTAAAGTATAGGAAATTTTGTTAAAAAACAAAAATTAAGTATATTGATTTTATATCAATTTATTATAAAAAAAAAAAAAAACATTATTCTTACTGTTGATTTTAAATTATATTTCTTTATAAGTTTTAAAGGAAACTAATTAAATTAAACACAGTTTTAATACAAATGTACACTGTATTGTAGAGAAACATACATTCTGTTCAGATGAACTTTTTAATTACTCAACATGAAATCACCAGACACTTACAATAGAGTCTAACTTATGAATACGACTTCAAACTCATCACAAATTTTTGGAATTGGATTTATGAGATACACTTATCGCCGTCCACGACCTCGGCCTCCGCGGCCGCCTCTTGGCCCTCCGCGACCACCACGGCCTCTGCCTCGTCCTCCCCTCGTACCCCCTCTTGGGAAGCCCTCGCGTTTACCGCGGCCTTTTGGAGCATCATCGATCAACAACGTCTCTAAAGGCAGACTATCGGGCAATAAAAAGTATCTAATGTTGTTGCCGCGTATACTTAAAGTCTCGAGTTGCAATTCTTCCTTATTTTTCAATGTAACTTTGACCGCTTTCAGATGCGTGTTCATTGCAACATCGACGCCGGTGATCGTTCCGTGAACAACACTGCCATTTTTCAATTCTATTGTCACTGTCTCGTGACTGAGCTTCATTAAAAACCTAACTAGCTTCATTTTTGTGTGTTATTAATAGATTAATTATTAAAAACTCAAGCGGCGTCTATAGTCACAAACTAACCTCAAAACAAATGGCGGGTTCTATGTTGCCAGTAATAAGATTCAAGTTTTCTACTACTTGAAAAATATATAACTTCACCATAGAAGATTAAAATGCTTACTTTCAAACCGTTATCCCAATTATTTGGAGTCGATATAGTATGGTTTTATTCAAATTATACAAAGTTTTAACCTTGGATTATACGGGCAATCGCCTGCCTGACGTCAACCCTCCCTTACATTTATAGAGTAACTTTATATCAACAATATATTATGATTGATAATATAATATATATATATATATATAAAGTATTGTGAGTAGCCAGTAAAAGTTATTGCAGTGCTGGCTGGGTACCTATCAATAAGCAAATGGAAATAAGAGAACAACAAATGACAAAACTCTGTCTAATAGATAAATATTTATTCTTTGTCAAATGTAAATACAAGTCTTCTAGATTAAAAGAATTTAGATATTCTTCCGAATTTTACTTTCTAATTACTTTTTATCATAAAAGTGTAAATGAACCCCGAGGAAAGTTTAAGTCAAGTAGAAGACAATAGAGAGGCGGAGCGAGAAACTGAAGAGAGAACTGTTTGCGCTAGATTGGTGCTTACTCGAGAACAGGTATTTAAAATTATACATCCAAACTAGAACTGATCATGCAGAAAATAATTAACTCTTATGAAATGTTCATAATAGATGACTGTTTTCCCTATAACTAATTCTAATTTGGCTGTAGATTTATAATTATTATTGTTATATATAACTTCATTGTACATTCATATTTAATATAAAAATTTCTAAGTTAAACGTTTCTATTTGTTATGGATAGATACCTAGATACTCTTTATTGTTTCCACCAAAAGATTACAATAGTAAACTTATTCTAGATATTATAATTAATATTTCTAAGTTTAAATTATACTAATAATAAGAATTACAATTAAAATATTCATAACTTTTTCTTACCGCAATTTGGCAAAAGAAAATTAAGTAATAACAAGCAAATACTTGTTACTTTGAAACTACATCATATTTTGGGGGAAATAGATTATTAGTAATATACCCTATCAGGTCAATAATTGTTAGTAATATTAGGCTATTCAGGTCGATTTCCACGCGGTTGCCCCTGAAAACTGTCTTTTTTTTATACTGCAAACTACGGGCAAACAATCTGACGGCCCACCTGATGGAAAGTGGTAACCGTTGCCTATAGACATGAGCAGTACCATGGACATAATAGAGTATACTGTTTTGCCTATGATACCCCCAATGCGTTGCCATTCCTGAGGACTTAGGTGTTATTCCTATGTACCCTGTAAATTCACGCCATATCCCACCCTTCAAACCGAAACACAGCCATGCAAATACAACTGCTTTACGGTTGAAACAGGAATAGGCCAGAGGTACTCAAGCAATCGACTTTTGTACAAAGTCTCCCTCTGGTATTGGTAATAATTGTAAAAATTGTCACGATAGACCAACCGACATTTCTTTAATCCCCGCCTATCATTCACTGGTGTCCCGCCTGTGTATATCGATAGTGCCGGCGGGGTCATTTTTTCATTTTCTCCAAGAACTTCATATTTTGCTTCAGAACTTTTCAAACAAATTTATGCCCTCAAATTAAAAATTTTCAATTATGGCCTAATAAGAATATTACTGCATGATTAAAATTTTAAATCGCTAGCAGAACATTTTTTATATATGTATTTTTAAAATTGCCAGATAATTCCGACGTTGGCATACTTCGTTCTGGGCGCTATTAAAATCAGGTTTAATTATTTCTAATTTATATTACAAAACTGGCACAATCTGTATTATTATTTAAATTGTATTATTAGCTAAAAATTTAATATATTTACTAAAACGTTTATAATAAGATTCTTATTAAATTATTATTGTAATATTAAAATTAAAAAGTAAAGAAGTGTGTGGTAATTTCAGTGGTAAAATAAAGAAGTCGTCATAGTCGTAGAATACTGACGGGTCTTACAAAGATTACATATAAAGATCCGTCAGTATTCTACGACTATGACGAAGTGTTACCATTATTTAAGTATGTATGTATATACGACGTATTTACTGGCAAATTGTATAGTTTATAACTCTAAAATTATATTCTAGTATAACAGAAAGTTGTAAATACAACCCATGTTTGATATAAAAAACAGGTTGTGAATAGAGAATTCACTTAATGTTGCTATCTAAATTAAATTACTACTTATATGGGTATTTATACCTAACCTTATAGATATTATTATTAAATCAATATTGTTGCTAAGCATAGCCTCATAGATTCGGTACAAACACTCGGTGTCACTTTTGTAAAATGGACGATATAAATATATCAGGCACGGCGGTTTTCTCGGATGTAGATAAAGAAAAGAATAAGATCCAAGGACCGCCTGAAGAGCAAGAGGTTAATGCAAAGTTAATTTTTACCGAAGAGCAGGTAATGTATTGTAATTCGGGATATTACAAATATGTACATATTCGTACATTTGAAAATTTCATTTGATTATTGAATATTTCGGGCAAGGGATGGGCAGCAGCGTCCCTTTTAAAACATCTGTAAAAGCCTAACTGCGGTTGCCAACCCGCCTGTGAAGCGTGGTAACTACTGACAAAACTCCCCTTATGGGGAAAATTTATGTCCAGCAGTGGACAGTTAACGGCTGAAATAATATTAAAAAAAAAATATTTCAAGCAGATCAAGTTAGTTGTTTGTTTGTTTGTAAAACTTTATTATATGGCAAACTTATCCCATAAAAGGAATCTCTTCCAGTCAATCCTTGAATGTCTGATAGAAATTGGGAATTGGTGGAAAGAAAAAAAATAGAAAAAAATTATTATTCATATTTTATTTATTCTTAAATAATTATACTAACACATTGCCTTTACTCGCGTATTAACTTCAGTGTTGCCCGACTATTTTGAAACTCGATAAGAGCTTTTTCTATAAGCACGGTTCAACGTTGTGTTGCAAGCTAGCGGCTTGCACACACGAGTAAAACCGATATAAATAATTATAATAAGTATAATTAATAATATAGTATAATCTAAATATAGCATTATTCATAATAATTATAAAATTATACAGCAAAACTTCAAGATTTATCTACGGTTGAGTTTGAGACGATTTCTTTAAACCTATCTGTAAAATTAAGAGTTCAATTTAATCTTTATTACAAGGACCAATAGCAACTAATTTTCTAATAGATATAAACCAAAATTATTATAATTTTAATTTGTTATGGCCCATATAAATGTAATTTCACGAAATTATCGTATTGAATTATTACACTAAGAGACAGATATAGAGAAATGACATCTCAAAATCGGCTATTGTTTTTCTATTTATCAGGAAAATGATTTGCGTCACGCTTTCAATTTGTTGGACTATACTGGTGAAGGAAAAATAAAAGCGGCGGATTTTCGTGTTGTTATCAAAGCTTTAGGTATGTAAGAGATTTCTCTTTTATATAAGAATATTATATAGAATAAATAAGAAACCAATCCAACATGAAAGAAGACGAGCGTATCTAAGCTCTATGATTATACGCTATTATTTTTTTAAATAATCGAAGAGTTAAATTAAAATCAAAATTATTACCCTTCATCAATAAATGTCTATTGAAACGTTAATGTTATAGACTATTAATTTTACAAAAAGGTTAAAAAAGACACAACGCCCTAGCTACACCCTAGTTTTATTAATTAAACCATAAAGTGGGAAACGAAGACATATTTCTATCTTTATATTATGTTTTCAAGTAAATTTCGTTTAAAATATTTTTACATAGTATTTTTTATGACTCTACCGCACAATTTGAAATGTAGTTCTACTTGAAGGTAATAAGCAAAACCATTACAAATCAATGCACAAAGAAAAATTTACGACAAATGACCAAAGATGATATTGAAAAGCTGGCCTTTAAGAATTACAATTTTATTACAAGAAAAAATACATTACTAAATCGTGATGGTGATTTTTATAAAATGTCCATTTGTTTCAGGATACGAACCCACAAAAGAAGAACTTCAGGATATGATCAGTGCGGTAGACAAGGGCGATACGGGAAAACTCAGTTTTGAGAATTTCCAAACTGCTATAATGAGAAAAATTATGTTGCAAGACAGTGATGGAGACATTATGAAGAGTTTTCGACTCTTTGATATGGATGACAGCGGTAAATAATAGTACCTATAAAATAAAGTATGATTTATCCGTCACTAGGTTTATGCATAACCATAGAAAGTCGAATACGAAAGGCTTCTATTCTTGACCTTCTTTTATACGTACTGTTACAACCCTAGCATTTATGGGGGGAAAGGGATTGTTAGTAACGAAGACTGAGAATCCCATTGCTAGCAATATACCCAACCAGGTCGACCTCCTCGCGGTTCCCCCTGGAAACTATCATGGTTAATTCCTGATGAATTCATCATGATGGGCTAACTGGCCTGTTTTCATTCTCATCTATCACCCTTCACTGGTGCTCCGGCAGCGTATCCCGTTAGCGCAGGCGGGGTTACCATACCATTTTCACCCATCAAAAAAAAATAATAATAATAAAAAAAAAAACCCTAGCATTTAGACAATATTATTGCTGAATAGCAATAACATCTATTTTCATTTAAATCAGCAATATTATGCCTATATAAACTCATACAAACTCTAAGTCAGTTAATCGTAATTTAGCTAGCTAAATTACTGCCCAGCAGCTACGGATCTGGTTTCTGCCCGTCGGTGTGGCCAGTAAAATTAACTAGTTATATTTATTATACATACTCAATAAAACTTCGAACCAAGGGTTTTTCGCGTCACGAGTCAAAGTGATTTCAAAATTACTTAAAAGTGCACTGTTAACTGTGTAAATTATTAAATAAATAACTTCGATGTGTGGCAAAAGTCTTTTTTTCATATATGTATATTGAACAAGTGCCCCAAACTAATAGTACATTTGTCTCGCCAACTCTTGTGACGTATATATTTTGATGTAGTAACTGTATTGTTAAAGTAATTCTATCGTTATTTATTGTTTTAAATAAAATGAAAAATCTAACCCTTTAAACCAGAACACAGCTTATCAGTTAAAATGGACAAGATGGAAGTATTACTTGAGAAGATTTCGATATAAAAAGAAATTATATATGTTGGGGGGAAAGGGATTATTAGTAATGGAGACTGAGAATCCCATTGCTAGCAATATAGCCAACCAGGTCGACCTCCTCGCGGTTCCCCCTAGAAACTATCGTGGTTAATTCCTGATGAATTTATCATGATGGGCTAATTGACCTGTTTTCATTCTAATCTATCACCCTTCACTGGTGCTCCGTCAGCGTATCCCGTTAGCGCAGGCGGGGTTACCATACCATTTTCATCCATCAAAAAAAAAATCATATATGTCTAAAATTATTATAGGTTTCATAAGTTTTGAGAATGTGAAACGCGTAACGGAAATATTGGGAACATATTTGACGGACGAAGAAATTGAAGAAATGATAGACGACGCCGATAATGATTTCGATGGATGTGTAAGTCAGATGAATATTATTAAAATACAATATGCAAGTGCAAATAAGCTGATAGTCAATCAATGCTTTTTAGCAGTATGGTAACCCTTGACTAATTTACAGTGTATACCTTATACATATAATAAAAAAATTACAATAATGTATATGGTATACCATATGAATATACATTTAGATCTTATCAATATATTATACATCCGTATGTAGCAATTTCTTATTTACTTCTATGTAAATAACGCTCTAAATAGTATTATAATTATTTTTTATGGACCTAAAATCTATTCAATTTATTTAGAATTTTAAAGTCCAATATCCCCAAAAAAGCAATGCGTTCACTTATTCTTGCTACATTAATTTTAAAAATTGTTTCAGATTTCAGTACAAGAATTTATGAAAATGATTAAGAATTCTGTTCATTTTGTTACTCCGTAGTTACTATAAATGAAAATTCTTCAGTCTTATAAAGGTGCACAAATCTACTATATAGATAATTATTTATTTATGGCAATATCCAAAGCATTTTAAGTCTTTTATAATGCAACTTTACTGTCTAGTTAATAATACTAGAATAATTAATTTTTAAACATTTCTCTATATTAAAATTAATTACATAATATTTGATTAGTTTTATTTTAATAATTCATTGCTTATCTAAAATCAATAAAACACGTAGGTAAAATAGATCCCTGTTTATCTAGTAAAACACCCATTAAAACTAAGCTGTCAACTTACAATTTCGCCTTTGACATTTGATGCTTGTTAACAATTTGATAATGCTATTATGAAACGCACGACAGTTACAATTCAAAGTTTCAAAAGTGTTTTTTATAATCTATATTTTTCATTGGTATTAAATATATTAGGTATTATAATTGAGTTATAAGGTCTGAAATATTAAAAGCTTCCAATTGTTTTACCTTAAACAAAATTTGGAAATGGGTAAGTATTTATACATATAATTTTATGATGTAAATATTTGATTCCGTAATTTTTGGTTCAAATCTCTAAATAAACACATTTTTACAGAAACAGAGGAGCTTACAATGGAGGAAAAATGTGAAAATCTCATGAACATAGTGGTGGAATCGAGAAAACGTTTTGGAAAGTTGTGCGTGGATTATGAACACAAAATATCCATTATGGAGAACAAATTACTGGATTTACAATTAGAAACTATATCGAACTGCCGTTTCAAACCGAAACAAACTATTACTAATGAGGAGCAGGATATGTCTAAGGATATAGACGAATTTACCACCGAAATAATAGAACGACAGCAAAGGATTGATAATTTGAAAACAAGATTGAGGAATACTCAACAAATAGTGTTGCAGTTGAAAGCTGATAATGTTGGAAGGAGACTAAAGGACCCAATAACTGTTGATGTAATGTTGGCACAAGCGAAACAAAAGAAACAAACATAGTGTTCCATTTTTTTAAATTAGGCCCTCAGTTGAAAGTATTGTTAAGTCATCATCATAATACAGCCTTTAACTGTCCACTGATGAACATAAGCCTCCCCTTTAGAGGTTATATCCGTAGTTGCCACGCTTGGCAGGCAGATTGGCAATTACAATTAGGCTTTGTAGATGCTTTAAGAGGGACACTGCTGCCCATCCTTTGCCCTCCCTTAGTTGACTCTTACGACACAGAAAAGAAAGGGATGGACTATTCTATGTCGGAACCATAGAATGAGAATGTCCAGAATAGCAGAATTTATTCACTGTAACACAATCAAGATGGCAAATATTTTGTTTGAAATGATATAATAGCTAGATGGAGCACTGGAGAGGACTATATGTTACTTGTATAAAATATACTTTTTGTTTATCACTATGATAAAGTCTGTCCAGAAGAATTTGCAGTGGTATTTCTGAACTGATATGACATAGCCTTCAAGACAAGAGCATATTTCTTTTTAAAAGGCCGGCAGCACACCTGCAATGCCTCTGGTGCTGCAGGTTATCATGGGTGGCGATAGTCACTTACCATCAGGTGAATGTGGCTCATTTGCCCCCTAATGGAATAAAAAAAAAAGTAAAATCATTTTGAAAAATGAAATTAACTAATTAAGTTTTATATTAAAGGTAAACAATTATGTGTAAAGAATTGATATAGTGTAAAAAATAAATAAGGTATTTTGTTATAATAGTGTATTAATTTTAAATGTTAACATGGGCTAATTGATCTGATTTCATTAAACCACTTAAAAAGTAGTCTCATGGTGGTAGAACTTTATTATATACCTACATATTGGGGGGAAAGGGATTTTATTATTAATTTGAACTATCGGTCCCACTAGTAGCAATATACAATATACCCTGTTAGGTCGACCTTCATATGGGTCCCTCTGAAAACCATTGTACTGAATTCCAGGTGTATTCATCGCAATGGGCTAACTGACTTGCCTTTCCATTCTCACCTATCATCCCACACTGGTGCCCCGTCAGCGTATACCAATAGCGCAGGTGGAATTATCATTTCTTTACCATCCATTGAAAAAAAAATTATATATATATATATATATATATATATATATCATCATAGTCGTAGAAATACCGACGGATCTTTATATGTAATATTTGTCAGATCCGTCAGTATTCTATGACTATGACGATATATTCTTTATTGCACTTGTAAGTTACATATAATGCATTTATAAATGTTGTGAGCAAGGCTGGATTTATCTGATAGAGATTTATATATATATATATATATATATATATATTATTTTATAAATATATATTATTGCTAGAATTTTCAATATTTTTCTGCATTTTCCTTGTTGCTATATAAGCATTAAATCCGCCTTCTGTATTAATTTTTTTTTTTGGAAATGAGAGATACCTATTTCCTTTTTACTTATTAAAATTTTTTGCTCACAACTTCATTCCCATGGATTTTAGAAGTCAGTTACCACTTAGATGGCATATTAAAGTAAAATATACACAACGTTTTAATTTAAACCTTCAGAAAAAACTGCATCTAATTTGACGTAATAGTTTTTGCATGATGCCGAAATAAACATACAGACAGGCAAACAAACATGTATTCAGTATGAATTATGTAAAGATTTTACAATACAATACATACATTACAGGCTGATAAAAATTATTTAAGTTTCTATTACAATTTTCAGGATCCCTTGTAGTATTTTTCTTAAATATTTCATTAGTACAGTTATGGTCTAACAAGTTATACTTTTATTAATAAAATAGTCTCCGATTCCTTTAGTAAATTAGTCCTTGTTATTATAGTAAGACTACTTATCATTATATTGGATTAACCCTTGTTTTCCATAGTAGTAAGACAATTAATGTGAAAATATGATATTATATACATATTGGCAACTTAATTGATAAAATTAACAAAAAAAAAAACGATGGTGTCGCCTCTGCAAGGTGTTTTAGGTACTAAAATCGCTACTTTAGTTGTTTTTTTTATCACTACGTCGCAAATGGTGCTGTTTATCGCAAGAAAATAATATTTTAAATATTTTTTTAGGTACCTACCTATCCAAAATCCTATCTAGCAATTAAAAAACAATCTAGTAACGTTATAGAGCATAATGCTTATACATATGGAAGCACATATTTTTTTTATTAGTTAAGATATACTTTTCAATTCAATACAAAAATTAAAACAATTATACTTAATAACTGAATATTTAAAATATTTGTTTTAATAATAAAAAATAAATAAATATTATTTTCTAATTTCTAATATATAAATTTAATAATGAAATGTTTTATGCTCCGTAGACGATCACTATTTAAAAAACATTAAAGTTGCTTTTCTGAGGCCGAAGTAGTTTCGTCTTTAACCTACAAGTGGCAATAGATAATGTGTACATAAGTGGTTTGACCGTCTATGTTGTCGAAAAGATAAAAATAAAACCTATTTTTTCAAATTAAATTATTTAACATCATTTTATATTTTCATGTTAGCCAATATCACAAATTACTTAACTTTTTTCTAGCTGTGGTTAATAGCATAGTTACTAGGCAACAAGTTTTGTCAATCAGTAATTTCGAAAATAATTCTCACCTACTATGAAATACTTTAAGAGTGTCCATCGCATTTCTATTAATTTACTTTTAAAATTATTGTTATAATTCGATATCACATTAAAAATATATGAAAAAAATGTCTGAAATACAAGATCTTTTTAAACAACATCGCATAGTACCTGATGTTATCAATACAGCACCGATGGAATTATTGGATATTCAGTATTCCAGCGGCGTGAGTGTGGATAAAGGCAAAGAATTGACACCAACTCAAGTTAAAAATAAACCTATAGTGAAATGGGCTTCGAAGGATACTGAATATTACACGCTGGCCATGATTGATCCTGACGCTCCGAGCCGTGAAAATCCAAAGTTTAGAGAGTGGCATCATTGGCTTGTTGGAAATATACTTGGAGGAGATATGAATAAAAGTGAAGTTTTATCTGATTACATTGGATCTGGCCCTCCGAAAGGTACGGGGCTGCATCGTTATATCTTTTTAGTTTATAAACAACCAGGAAAATGCGATTTTTCCAATATCCCAAAATTATCGAATAATTCAGGAGACAAAAGAGGAAAATTTTCTATTTCTAAATTTGCACAACAATTTAAGCTTGGCAAGCCAATCGCTGGTAATTTCTATTTAGCTCAATATGACGATTATGTACCCAAACTTTACGCAAAGTTGAAAGAATAATTTTTTTTCATAATTAGCAACTTCGAGTAGATTTTAAAATCATATAGTGTGCAAAGGGCTTTATAATGTTAACGTCACATTGTCTATGGTCGCGGTCGATATTTCCGCCTCCGCGTGACATTCCCATTTTTTGGCCTGGTCCGCCATTACATTTCTGAGTTCGCGTAAATTGGACGTGTACAAACGCCGCGCGTTATCAGTGACAGCATTATATTGTATAAGTGCGTCGTATCGCAGTGTTTTATTGGAACAAAGAGAAGCGACGTTCAATCGTATGTCCATCCAGAATCTGAACACATTCGATCCATTCGCCGATGCTATCAAAAGCTCGGAAGACGACGTCCAAGATGGTTTAGTCCACGTCCGGATCCAGCAGCGGAGCGGACGCAAGACGCTAACTACCGTACAAGGCCTGTCCTCGGAGTATGACTTGAAGAAGATAGTGCGGGCATGCAAGAAGGAGTTTGCCTGCAACGGCACCGTTGTAGAGCACCCGGAGTACGGCGAGGTGCTTCAGTTGCAGGGCGACCAGCGCGAGAACATTTGTCAGTGGCTCACCAAGTCGGGCCTCGTCAAGCCTGACCAGCTGAAGGTGCACGGCTTCTAAGCCTGTTGTATTATGAAAATCATTATAGACATGTTAATGAGAGCGCGCGCGTTATAATCATTCGAATATGTATTTAGAGAGCACCGACGTTTACAGAGAAAGGATTGGGAGGCCGCGCAGGCCTCCGCCCCGTGCCTTCAAAACTCCCATGTATAGTGTATCGGCGCCGTCTCCCCTTTAGTTGCAATTAACGCCGGACGAAATAGTATAATCACTTTTTTTTTACGACATTGTATTTTTAAATTTCTGTAATGATTGAATTAATAAATATGTTTTTGTACATGTTTCGTTTGGTTATTTTTTGTCTCGGCGGTGGTTCGTTTCGCGGTGGCGGGTGCCAGGTGGCGAGATAACGGGATCCCGCCGTGAAAGTAGGTGGCTCTGTAGAATTCCATTTAAACATCGTCACGCAAAATGCTGACACTTGTGTTTTGTCAGTAAATCATAGTATTGTGTCATATCCTCAAAGTTGAACCTTATGTGTGTATGGGAAGGTGTAAAATACATAAATAACCTTAAAACATGTTACGTCAGTAATAATTTTGCTAATTGCACTAGAAATTTAGTACTTAATTAATTCATAAGTTGAAGCAGTCGTAATCGACAATTGCATGTACATAGCATGTCTATGTGTCATAAACGGAATACCGACTTACCAAAGTATTATTTGGAAATAGGTATGAAATAGTCTATATATATATATATGTCTTAGATTAATATATATTATATATATAGGTACTTAGGTAAATATTTAATTGTTTTTATTACGATAGATAAGCATTGACATCTGTATTGCAGCTTATCACATAAACTTGGTTATCATGTAACAATTTCCTAATAACTAACATTAACTTAAGAGATTCCGTCCATTGTCTCCACGCATAGATAAAAAAAAACTATTGTATCTATGTGTCCAATTTAAACAAAGTAGGTACGTAACCATTTCGGTCGAATGAATAAGGAAACGGCGAGAATGAGTCATATCTATCGTTGCCAATTCTAGGTAGTAATGAAATCTTTGAATGTCACCAAAGAGCCGTAATATGTTCCGTTAAAAAGAGACACAATATTTGCATAGGTACCTACTTACTTACATTGTAATACAATAAACAATTTTTATTGTGCGAGTATTTACTTACTTATCTTCTCCTTGTGACGTTGTCATTAAAATATGTGAAATGTGTCACTACTCCTTTTCAATCGGCTTAAAAAAAAAGTGTTCTCAAGTCGGTTGTTTTTTTTTTTCTTTTTACCACTACTTTTTTTTTATTTTATTTCAAAAGATATCTATCTGTCAGATTATTCCCATATATTTTTCATTAAAATCGATTTAATAGTTTTTGAATTAGAATAACATATAAAATAACTAAAAAATTTATATAATTGAAATCAGTGGTTTTTGTAAAACAAAATCTGTTACTGTTGTCAATATTAGCTTTTTTCCAAGGCCCTGCCTGCATGTATCGGTACATAGTGTATCCTCGGTATGTGCTAAGATAGGACACCTGCCCGTGTACAATTTTTTTTCAGTAGTTGTTGCGTAAAAGTGTAATAGACTTCAATCTATTCATTTGAAATGAAATGAAATGAGTTTATTTGCATTAAACAGTTTAAAATTATTACAAGCCACGCGGTATTATTCTGGCACCTGTTTAATTGTCTTAAAGGATGTAGGCATGCAAATATTTCATATTTTATAAAAAAAAGCACAAACTGTTGCATTTAAATGTCTACATCATTTTATCAGCCTGCTGTCCACTGCTGAACATGGTCGATTAGGAGGTAAGGGGGGTTTTGCCAATAGTTACCACTCTTGGCAAGTGGGTTGGCAACTTCAGTTAGGTTTTTCGTGATGTTTTAAGAGGGACGCTGCTGCCCATCCCTCGCCCTCCATTAGTCGCCTCTTACACAGCCACGGGATAGGAAGGGGTGACGCCGGGACCACACGGCGATCCTCAATTAGTACTATTGAACAATAATAGTTTTTTTTATACCACTGATGTGGCAGACGAGCATACGGCCCACCTGATGGTAAGTGGTTACCGTAAATCCGTAGTTTAATGAAACTTTTAGTGCTACATATTGAATGATTTTCAAATAAATTTATTTTATCTAATTACAAATTTGGGGTGGGGAGGGAGAGTGTTAGTAATGAGTTCTAACAGCCCCATTGCTAGCAATATTACCCTATCAGGTCGATCTGCACGCGGTTCCCCCTCGGAATCGCCGGGTTTTTTTTTGATGGGAGAAAATGGTATGGTAACCCCGCCCGCGCTAACGTGATACGCTGGCGGAGCACCAGTGAAGGGTGATAGATGAGAATGGAAACAGGCCAGTTAGCACATCATGATGAATTCATCAGGAATTAACCATGATAGTTTCCAGGGAGAACCGCGAGGAGGTCGACCTGGTTGGGTATATTGCTAGCAATGGGATTCTCAGTCTCCATTACTAACAATCTCTTATATATCTGCTGTTGATGGATTCAAAATTGATGTCAATTTGATCGCTGTGAGCATTCAGAATCCTACATAATCCGGGTACAGGCGAGTTGGCTCCTAACACTGTTTTTCTTAACGGAGGACATAAAGGTGTTATCTGTTTCCGAGGTATTCTACTCTGGTCTTAACTGACCTTAAATGGGATTTTGTACATAGCTTAGTCAAGACGGAACTCGCCCGCGTGGTCAAATGATTAAACACAACTTGTTGACATTGAATATTTTGGAAAACAAATACGTATTTATTTCTAGTTTATAACAGTTCTCAGCCGTCATCTGAATACCAAATTAGAATCCGTGCATTTAGCAACCATATAAATAATTCCTTTAAGGTTACACTTGAAATATCCAATACATCGATATTGAAATTGAGACGTTTTGCAGTATTGAGTGGTACTAGCGACATAATAGTTCCATACTGTTCTGATAGATGCATTTTTTTTTTATTGGATGAAAATGTATTAGTAACCCCGCCTGCGCTAACGGGATACGCTGGCGGAGCACCAGTGAAGGGTGATAGATGAGAATGAAAACAGGCCAGTTTGCCCATCATGATGAATTAACCATGATAGTTTCCAGGGGGAACCGCGTGGAGGTCAAACTGGTTATGTATATTGCTAGCAATGAGATTTTTAGTCTCCATTACTAACAATCCCTTTCCCCCCGATAGATACATATTGGTGCAACTTGTCAATGCAAACTATTGTAAACCGATCCCAATTATAACCTAATTCCTAACTGTTGTTGCATGAGTGCAGTGTAAAATTGTCATTGGCAACAGATTGGATTGGGGGGAAGGGATTGTTAATAATGGAGACTAGGGGCCCCATTGCTAGCAATATACCTAACCAGGTCGATCTCCGCGTGGTCCCCCTGGAAACCATCGTGCTGAATTCCGAGTGTATTCGTCACGATGGGCTAACTGACCTGTCTTGATCCTCACCCATCATCCCTTACTAGTGCTCCGCCAGCGTATACCGTTAGCGCAGGCGGGGTTACCATTCCATCATCATCCATTAGAAAAAAAAACAGATTGGATTGATACTGATATTGGATTCAAGATTGGAAGAAAATAGTTTAAAATATTTAAAGGTGGTAAAGAGGTCTCTTCAGGGTCGGCAACGCACGCGTAATACCTCTGGTATTGCAGGCGTTCATAGACTACGGTAACCGCTTACCATCAGGTGGGCCGTATGCTTGTTTGCTACCTCAGTAGTATAAAAAAAATTCGATGTAATAATTGGCCAGCGGCCATCCTGGCATGCTCATGTTCATGTGGATTTATAGATGATGTCCAGAATTCGTAAACTTGTATGGAAATTCAAAACTCTAAGACAAGTTACTACTAGAGTATTAGTCAAAAAACTTACAATGCTCTTCGAGTCCAATATAATAATGCCTTCAGACCACTGTTGGCGCTACCTAGTCACTGTAGTACGTCACACATGTTTGCACGAGAGCGTACGGATGATTTTTACGCAATACGGCGCAAACGAATCGTTTCGCTGTTGGGCAGGATGCGTGTTAGCTCAAACAGTGTCCTGAAGACAATTGCTGACAAAATGGCCTGTCCCATCCTAAAATAATGGGTGGGACAGGTTATCAATGCAAGAGCGTTATGACCGCTCATTTACTAACATACGTTAAGTCAATTTATAATATGGGATTTGGGATATATATATATATATGGCTCTCTTGGTATCTCTGGCTATCTTGATAGTTCCTATCCTCCCTCACTGGTGCCCCGACATTGTATACCGATAGTGCAGACGGAGTTACCATTCCATTATCATCCATTACAAAAACCTATACATGTACCAGGAACTAATTATTGTGACACTCGTGTACAACAAACAAAGTAATTGATTTAATGATTGGACGACAATTGGCGACGTGATCACGTAAAACAATCACAACAAAAAATGCGGACGAATCGAGAGATT